TATATATATATATATATATATATTTTTTTTTTTTTTTTTTTTAAGAGGATACACAAACTTATATTTAAGAAAAATCATTTTATAGTAAATATTTAAATTATTATTTCTTGAAGGTCTTGCAATGCTTTGTTGTAATTGGTTAAAAAAATGTATCTTTATTCGATAGACATTAAAACTATAAAACATTGATTAATTAGGTTGTTTTAAAATAATAGATAGACTTGGTTACAGTTTTAACATTTTCTGAATTTAATAATTAATGGTTAAATGAAAATAACCCCTCAGATCCGATTATCGGTTTCATTTGCTCAGCTTAAAATAAATTGTTTTATTTAAGAAACCTGTTTTTTTTTTGTGCATTTTTCTAATATTAACCATCTGCCAACAGACACATTAATGTTTAAATGTGTTTACCAAAGAGGCTGATATAAATCCTGAAATGACGCTGAAGCCTAATTCAACAGATCCAAACATGGACAGTTGGGCTCTAGTGTTCTTGTTATGGGTCAGATTTATTGTTTCTGTGTCGTTAGCGGTGCAGAATGTGGCGTATGAGCGCTCGTCCTGCTCAGGGATTTTGGCAGGCGCTCTGGATGCTCTTCTAATAATCGCCGTGACAACAATAGACGGTCCAGGCATCCAGCTTTATTGTCTGTTGAAGGTCATTGTTCTGCTGGGTCTTGTTGATTGGTCATTAAATGGAGAAGTGTGGGGGTGTGCGATGACAGAGGATTGCGCCCACCGGCGACTGAAAGCATCAGGTTTCCAGTTGGAGGATAGCCGACCTTTGGCCTCGTAAATGTCAGCGCGGTCTTTGTTTTCTGCAGACGATGTGAAACTGCAGGCTGTCCTCAGGGTGAGGAAGAAGGAGCAGTGAGCTCTAAGCTTTCCGTCCAGTATGGGGGTGGGGGGGCTGAATGTACACAGATAAACGCAGAGAACGACACGATGACAGCAGGCTGAGGTTTGGACATTTATTGTCTGGTTGGAATGCCTTTCTCTTGCTAACAGTCATTGAAACAGGAAGCTTCACAAAAACTCATCCCCCATTTTGGAGGTTGATCTTTCCTCAATTGTTTTTTTAGCATCCATTAAAATCTGTGTTTGATAAATGTCATGAACACAAAACATTCAGTACAAATGCCTCCTACAATTACACAGTAAAACTACAACTTTTTATTTGCGTTAAGTGTTTTGAGGACTTTTAAATATTGACAGACATATATTTTTGTAATCTTAAATGCAAAATGTTTGTATATTTTTTTACAATCTTGATATAATTACTGCTCTAAATGAGTCGCTCTTTCAGCTAAAGGCATGTTTTACAGTTTCTATACTCCAGTTAATATTCCAGATTAATCGATTATTAAATTAGTTCTTTATCTGATTAATTATTTCAGCTTTAGGATGTATAGCTGTACGTCATAACCTCTGCCCTGGCCCGTCTGGCTCTAAAAGGAGGAGGGGAGGCGTCCCAAACCTTCCCCAATACTTTTTGTTTTCAGCTATATGAGCATAATTAAGCCCTGAACACACCGAATAGAATTTTGCTTCCAATCAGACAGAAAACAGTCTGAGGTTGTGCTGTTAAGCGCTCATTGAAAGTCAATGGGGATGAACACACCCAACCCTATATCCTGAGAGGGGGCTGCATAGCTCCAACACAGATGGACCCCATGTCTATTTTGTTGTGACTACGCAGCAGATCAGCTGCAGTATAATGGGTCTGACTGGAACAGAGACGCTGTTATTAGGAAGAGACTTCGAAGCATTGGATGCAGGTCCAGCAGCTTCCACAACAGTTTCTTCCCGACTGCCATTTGACTGCTGAATGTTTTGTAAAATGTGTAATTGTATTTATTATATTTTATCATTATATATATATATATATATATATATATATATATATATATATATATATATATATTTTTTTTTCTTCTTACTATTTTTCAAGACTTTTTTTTACAAGTTTTTTTCAAGTACTTTTAAAAGAAAGATGAAATTGTCCAGAGAGCTGTTCCAAGGGAAATTTCTTTTTGTCTTATACATGTGTAAACAAAATAACAAATAAAATGTGTCTTAAGTCTAAGTTAAGTTAAGTAAAACATTCACTTTGTGGGGGAAAAAAACTAATAAAATCTCTCAATCACAAGGGAAAACTGCTGGATTTACAATGTTTGGAATCACAGAGTGCAGGCAGCCTCTTTCATGCAGTAAGATCTTGTATATTTCTCATTCAGAGTTGATCAATGGGGTTTTTGTCACTAGAAAAAAAAACTAGATCTCCGCTTCCTAGTGCTTGTTCAGCCTCATTGCAGTGGAAGCCATTACAGCCTAACCATTAGGAGGGAGTGAAATCTGCGTTTGGAAAAAAGGCAATAATGTCACTGGTTATGTCTCCTGGCAGAGGAACATGGAGCCGTCGGCTGATAAGCACATTGTTTTGTTTGATTCTTAACCTCCTTGTTTCGTCTGTTCTCTTTCCCTCAGACTGCTGTCTGCGGTGCTGAGAACGTCAGAAGTGGAGTCACGGGCGACCAGAGCGAGCTTGACGGAGCTTCTGAGTCCGCAAATGGGCAAAGACATTGTGTGGTTCCTCAGACGGTGGGCTAAGTCGTACCTACTGGTGGATGAGAAGCTCTATGAGCAGGTGGGTCTGATTCACCGCACCTCTATTGCATCCTCCTCCTTTCTTCTGTTTAAATGTTTCTCCTCCTTCTCCTCAGATCAGCATGCCTCTAAGCACAGCGTTTGGTGCAGACACAGAGGGAGCCCAGTGGATTGTGGGATACCTGCTGGAGAAAGTTATTAATAATCTGTCGGTGTGGAGCTCGGAGATGGAGCTAGCGAACGACACGGTGGAGCTGCTGGTGACGCTGGTAGAGAAGAGGGAAAGGTGAGCCCTGCTTTCCAGAGCATCAGCTTCCCTTAAGGTGCCTCTGATGCTCACTCTGCTCCCTCTGACCCATCAGGGCGAACATCGTGGTGCAGTGCGAGAGCTGGTGGAACCTGGCGAAGCAGTTCGCCAGCCGCAGCCCGCCCCTCCACCTGCTGTCCAGCTCGGTGCAGAGGTCCCTGATGAAAGCTCTGGTTCTGGGAGGCTTCGCCAACATGGACTCTGAAACCAAGCAGCAGTACTGGGCTGAGGTGACCCACATATTCACACGCCCTCAATCTCATTGTGGAGCGAGATTTCAGTTTATTCCAATTAGTTAAAATCTGTACTCTTCATCTAGCTAAACTGATCAAGTGTAGATCTCAAATGTTTCATAGTGAGTAAAATCCCTTGATGGGTGAGAACATTCCTCCGCTGGGTGTTCCTGTTGCCTGATGTAGCTCCTGATCCCGGAGATCTTCATCCAAATGCGCCGTTAGCTTTAAATGCGGCCGTAAAGCCCCCCTGACTCCAAAGCAATTATCTAAATGAGTCAGCTGCTGCTGGTTCCTGCAGCTGCTGTCTGAACTCTGAGGAGCCACCTGACAACTAATCACACTCATTAAACATTTGGCCTGCTGAGTAGTTTAGGATTGATTATGAAAACCTGTTTAATTTAATGTTGTAGATAACGCCGTTACTATTAAATATGTTGAATATGTTTATGCATGTAGCAACTTACAAAACTGTTTTAGTTATCAATTTGACAATAGTGATGCTGAAAGCAACTTCAATGTCACAAAATTAAACAATCTGGTTTTTTTTACAACCTGATCTTAGATTGAGAGGTCATGAAGTTTGTTGTAAAGATGAGGAAAGAACTTAGATCTCAATTTAACAGAACTGCTTCTGGTTTAACCAGAGTGCTCAAATATAACCTCAAAAGCCTTCCTAGTGGAGTTTATGCTTTTTAAGACTCGTTTTGGAGTCAAGCATCATGTGTGTGAAGTGACTATTGTTGCTTTGGTTGATTTGTAGTAAATGTGCTTTTTTTTTACTCATTGAAATCCACAAAACAAGCACTGATCTGATGTGAATGATCTGTCTGATCTCTAAAGCAGTTATAGTGGCACAAATTTTGCAAAAACAAATTTTTAGCTGGATAAAAAATTTAAAAAAAATCTCCTATTTATCCAGAAGCTCTGTATGTAACACATTATCATGTGAAAGCAGCTTCTCAACCGTCTTTTTGTCTCCAGGTGCTTCATCCTCTGCAGCAGCGTTTCCTCAACCTCATCAACCAGGAGAATTTCGCTCAGATCAGCCAGGAAGAGGCCGTCAAACAGGAAATAGTCGCCACACTGGAGGCGCTGTGCGGCATCGCCGAGGCGACGCAGATAGACAACGTGGCTTCGCTCTTCTCCTTCCTCATGGACTTTCTGTCCAGCTGCATCGGCTTAATGGAGGTGAGGGAAGGCGGAGGGTTTCTACGTAAAGCATTGATCCTGGGTGCTCAGTTCCAAACTCTAAAGTGCTCCAATTTCGGTGTTGTATTTTGTAGTAAATATATATATATTAATATATATATATATAAAAAAGAAACATGTTTATTGTTGATTTTAATAACTGCTGCAAACTAAATATTTTTTAGAAATTATTTCATCCCTGACACTAGGTGGCGGTGGTGTTTGTTATTTATTAATCTCAGATGAGACGTGGGTCTGGATTTAAAATGAGTTTAAACCAATCACTGTCTTTGTTTCCCAGGTTTACAGCAACACGCCTGAAACGATCAACCTCATCATAGAGGTTTTTGTGGAAGTGGCTCACAAACAGATCTGCTATCTGGGAGAGGTGAGGCTCTTAAGACACGTTCACACCGCAGCCTAAAGTGACCCAAAGCCGAATTTCTTGGCCCAAACGTGACCTGGATCTGATCTTTTCCTGACCGTCTGAACAACACAGATCAGATTTTTTTTCCAAAGCAACCCAGGCCGCTTGGCTATGTGGTCCTGAATCGATATATATCTGATCTTTTCAAATCAAATCTGTGTCTCATTTGAAAAGTGCAACACAGGATGAATTCAGTTCAGTAGTTGTTAAAAATATTTTTATTATTTGTTTGTTTTTAGCTTTCTTCCTATATGGAAAGTTTTTCAAAATTTGAAACATATTTACGAGGCCTGAAAGTAATGATTTATGTTAAAATAAACATTTGGGGTAAATTTGTTGCTACCAGGTTTTTCTTGTGTTTATTGTGTTTATTAAGTTGGTCTTAAATTTTTATTTTAAGTGGCATTAAAAAGTGTTAAAAAGGCTTCAATTGAACTTGCCTTATGCTGTAGGAACCCTAATATAAACGTTTGACAGGATCAGGTCATTCATGATGCTGATGTACAACGGGACTTATTTTCATTTTCATGATTAGCAGCTAATCGCCCAGGTTAGCTAGTACCAGAATTTTGTTGTTTTGCAATCTTATTACATTTCAATC